CTAGGACACGGACATTTGGACATGTCCCAAAATGTCCCATGTCCCAATCTACATATCGGACATTGTCCCATGTACATCACTGCCTGTAGGATATATGATTAACAAACAAAATTATAATATTGCATCTATCGACGTATCAGTACTAAGTAGTTTATTTATTAAATGATTTATAACTACTAAAACAAATTTAAAGAAATTTATGAAAAACCAATCCTAAACAGCATGACTGAATTTCTGTTTATGCATAAATATTACACAAGATTTTATATAAGAATACATATACTGAAAGTAGTATCATATGGTGACACGCTAAGGACAATTATCAACACTATAAAAAAAACTTTACCATGTTGTTTTTCACTTGCTATACAATAAAAATATGGTAACTCATCTCTGAGATCTCTTAGCTTGCGTGACTTTTCCTAGTCATATTTTTTCATAGTAAACATTCATAAGGTAATATTTATGTATATTACCATATTTTATTATCGAAAAATCATTCGCAGTTAGTATACAATTATCATTTTTTTTATTTTAACTAATTTATATATTTACCAATTTTCTATTTGGTTAATTTCTATTGTAAGTTTAGATAAAATATCTAGTGTTTTATCTATTTCTCCAGAATTTTCATCATCTCTCTCTTTTGTCTCCATCTCTGTATTATTATCATCAATAAGATCCTCTAAGGTAAATGTATTTGTTGATTTTTCGATTTGCTTTAAGAATAATTCAATATTTTTAACCACTCCTTTTTTATAGAACTCCTCATAATAAATCCATCTTCCGTAATAACAAGTTAAATGATAGGCATAACCACAGATAAACACTGTACTATTGTCATCAATAAATGGAAGTTTACATTGATCACATAATCCAAGTTGTGATAGATATGATGTGCTATATCCTGTTGGTAAACACCATAAGTTTACCTATTTTCCCAGGGTCACAAGCTGATAAATTTCTGAAGGTTTCTTTTTATTGACTTTTTTATTTAGTTTTGGTCCACTTCATCCACAATTATGAAATATTTCTTGAAAATACTGTAATAAAAAAAGGCTGGCTTTATTTGATAGAAAATCAAGTGTCCTAATACTGTATGGATATTGTCTTGATTTGCAATACATGTTTTAAATGTGGGGTCATGATTTACTAAAAATTGATAAATAAAAATAAATAAAATATAATTTTATTAAACAATCAAATATTAAAATA